CTTCCTTATCAATCTCGTCTAATTGCAAGCTGTCTCCCACTCCAGTCTTGGGGTGGCGGGCCAAGATGGCCTTCTTGCTGGGTTACCAACGAAGCAGGTACCACCATCACGGACCTGGTGGTATTTAATACAACGGTGGTGGCATTAATACAACGGTGGTGGCATTAATACAACGGTGGTGGTATTTAATACAACGGTGGTGGTATTTAATACAACGGTGGTGGCATTAATACAACGGTGGTGGTATTAATACAACGGTGGTGGTATTTAATACAACGGTGGTGGTATTAATACAACGGTGGTGGCATTAATACAACGGTGGTGGTATTTAATACAACGGTGGTGGCATTAATACAACGGTGGTGGCATTAATACAACGGTGGTGGTATTAATACAACGGTGGTGGCATTAATACAACGGTGGTGGTATTTAATATAACGGTGGTGGCATTAATACAACGGCGGTGGCATTAATACAACGGTGGTGGCATTAATACAACGGTGGTGGTATTAATACAACGGTGGTGGTATTAATACAACGGTGGTGGTATTAATACAACGGTGGTGGTATTAATACAACGGTGGTGGTATTAATACAACGGTGGTGGTATTAATACAACGGTGGTGGTATTAATACAACGGTTTGTGGTATTAATACAACGGTGGTGGCATTAATACAACGGTGGTGGCATTAATACAACGGTGGTGGTATTAATACAACGGTTTGTGGTATTAATACAACGGTGGTGGCATTAATACAACGGTGGTGGTATTAATACAACGGTGGTGGTATTAATACAACGGTGGTGGTATTAATACAACGGTTTGTGGTATTAATACAACGGTGGTGGCATTAATACAACGGTGGTGGCATTAATACAACGGTGGTGGCATTAATACAACGGTGGTGGCATTAATACAACGGTGGTGGCATTAATACAACAGTAGTGGCATTAATACAGCGGTGGTGGCATTAATACAACGGTGGTGGCATTAATACAACGGTGGTGGCATTAATACAATGGTGGTGGCATTAATACAACGGTGGTGGTATTAATACAACGGTGGTGGTATTAATACAACGGTGGTGGTATTAATACAACGGTGGTGGCATTAATACAACGGTGGTGGCATTAATACAACGGTGGTGGCATTAATACAACGGTGGTGGTATTAATACAACGGTGGTGGCATTAATACAACGGTGGTGGCATTAATACAAAGGTGGTGGTATTAATACAACGGTGGTGGCATTAATACAACGGTGGTGGCATTAATACAACGGTGGTGGCATTAATACAACGGTGGTGGCATTAATACAACAGTAGTGGCATTAATACAGCGGTGGTGGCATTAATACAACGGTGGTGGCATTAATACAACGGTGGTGGCATTAATACAACGGTGGTGGCATTAATACAACGGTGGTGGCATTAATACAACGGTGGTGGCATTAATACAACGGTGGTGGCATTAATACAACGGTGGTGGCATTAATACAACGGTGGTGGCATTAATACAACGGTGGTGGCATTAATACAACGGTGGTGGCATTAATACAACGGTGGTGGCATTAATACAACGGTGGTGGCATTAATACAACGGTGGTGGCATTAATACAACGGTGGTGGCATTAATACAACGGTGGTGGCATTAATACAACGGTGGTGGCATTAATACAACATTGATTTATATCAGCACACGTCTAACAGGAAAAGGTCTACAAAAAGACCTTGTTCATCTTGATAAAAAAGATGGTCTTGCTTTTACCTTAATAGCGGCCGGTGGCTCAGAGAGACGGGAGGACAGATACACGGACGGGCGAGCTACGGGTGAACGGACAGGCGACCTACGGGTGAACGGACGGGCGAGCTACGGGTGAACGGACAGGTGAGCTACGGGTGAACGGAAGGGCGAGCTACGGGTGAACGGACGGGCGAGCTACGGGTGAACGGACAGGCGAGCTACGAGTGAACGGACGGGCAAACGGTAGATATTGAAGTATAAACAAAAGGATAAATAGACGAACATTCGGATAGATGGACAAGTAGGCACTCGGACAGACAGGTGGATATAGAGACGGGCAAGTGGACACACGCGGATAGACAGACAGGCGGACGGACACATCTAAGGACGGACAGCCGAACAGAAAGGACAGACTTGTAAATACCGTTGGAGTTTTTAATATGTATGTAGGCCGGATATCACCGCAAGGTTACCGCAAGGTAGGCCTAAATATGACCAGACTTTCTTAAGTCTGTTCCCCCCGTCCCATCCCAAACCCTTATCCTGACCCCTTCCCAGTGCTATATAGTCGGCAAAGGCTTGGCGCTTTGCCCCTGATAGTTCCATCCTTCTTAAGTCTGCTGGCCTGCCTTACTCTCACTGCGACCACCACCTTATAAGATATTAGTTTATTGACATAACAACTGGAATGTGTTACCGTTGAAGGTCATACTGCATAATAGAAATTCTTATTTACTATTTTTCTGTGAGTTCTAGCGAAGTTATTTTCAGACTTATGGCGTCGTCAGCAAGGGATATACCTGGATTGTACCTGGATGGGGTTTTGAGAGTTCTTCTACTCCCCCGGGAGCCGGTCGGCCGAGCGGACAACACGCTGGACTTGTGATCCTGTGGTCCTGGGTTCGATCCCAGGCGCCGGCGAGAAACAATGGGCAGAGTTTCTTTCACCCTATGCCCCTGTTACCTAGCAGTTAAATAGGTACCTGGGTGTTAGTCAGCTGTCACGGGCTGCTTCCTGGGGGTGGAGGCCTGGTCGAGGACCGGGCCGCGGGGACACTAAAGCTCCAAAATCATCTCAAGATAACCTCAAGATAACCCCCAAGCCCGGCCCGAGGTCAGGTTTGACTTGTGAGAGCTTGGTCCACCAGGCTGTTGCTTGGAGTGGCCCGCAGGCCCACATACCCACCACAGCCCACAGGATGAAACGAAACTGTGAGAAATATTCCTGCCTATGTCTTGTATGGGGGGGGGGGGGGGGTGGAGTTGCGGTGCCAAGACCTTGCCCACTCCAACCAACAGTCTGGTTGACCAAGTTATCACAAGTCAAGCCTGACTCGAAGCCAGTTGAAGGGAAATAGAACTCTGAACCCAATAGATCCCAGAACTCTGGGAGTAGAGCTCCCAGAACCCACTCCAGGTATACTCCAGGTATACCTTATAGGACTGAGCTTCATAACATTCTTGGATTGGACAAAAATCAGCCTGTTTGTTATCAAATTGACAAATCAATTTGATACGTTTTCTATCACTTACTCAACTTCCCTTTTTTAGGGGATACTACTCCATAGTTACAATTATAAAAATTCTTATTGTCAAAACCTGTGTATATGACGTCTGCATCCTGGAGTGTTTCTAAAGCCTCTGTGATTGTTATATTGACCAAGCAGGTGCGGAAAAAGAGCACCTTGCTGTCCTAAAGCAGAGTTGATCTGGACTGAATACCATGTTCTTTTCCATATAACTGCTAATTTGACTTAATAGAACCTACCCAAAGATCTGAATGATGTGTGATGTCAGTGTGTAATAGGGTGACGTCCCACTGGGAGGGAGAGTACCAATGGAAGAGTACCAATGAAACAGTACCAGTGGGACAGTACCAGTGAAATAGTACCACTGGAAGAGTACCAACGCAAGAGTACAACCTCCAACAAATCAAGAAATGAGGACAAGGAGCTGGGGTATGAGGACAAGGAGCTGGGGTATGAGGACAAGGAGCTGGGGTATGAGGACAAGAAGCTGGGGTATGAGGACAAGGAGCTGGGGTATGAGGACAAGGAGCTGGGGTATGAGGACAAGGAGCTGGGGTATGAGGACAAGGAGCTGGGGTATGAGGACAAGGAGCTGGGGTATGAGGACAAGGAGCTGGGTATGAGGACAAGGAGCTGGGATATGAGGACAAGAAGCTGGGGTATGAGGACAAGGAGCTGTGGTATGAGGACAAGGAGCTGGGGTATGAGGACAAGGAGCTGGGGTATGAGGACAAGGAGCTGGGGTATGAGGACAAGGAGCTGGGGTATGAGGACAAGGAGCTGGGGTATGAGGACAAGGAGCTGGGGTATGAGGACAAGGAGCTGGGGTATGAGGACAAGGAGCTGGGGTATGAGGACAAGGAGCTGGGGTATGAGGACAAGGAGCTGGGGTATGAGGACAAGGAGCTGGGGTATGAGGACAAGGAGCTGGGGTATGAGGACAAGGAGCTGGGGTATGAGGACAAGGAGCTGGGGTATGAGGACAAGGAGCTGGGGTATGAGGACAAGGAGCTGGGGTATGAGGACAAGGAGCTGGGGTATGAGGACAAGGAGCTGGGGTATGAGGACAAGGAGCTGGGGTATGAGGACAAGGAGCTGGGTTATGAGGACAAGGAGCTGGGGTATGAGGACAAGGAGCTGGGGTATGAGGACAAGGAGCTGGGGTATGAGGACAAGGAGCTGGGGTATGAGGACAAGGAGCTGGGGTATGAGGACAAGGAGCTGGGGTATGAGGACAAGGAGCTGGGGTATGAGGACAAGGAGCTGGGGTATGAGGACAAGGAGCTGGGGTATGAGGACAAGGAGCTGGGGGTATGAGGACAAGGAACTGGGGTATGAGGGCAAGGAGCTGGGGTATGACCTAATAGCACGTCGCATTTTGACGTACACTCCACCTAAAGCCAAAAATTGTCGTACTAGAAAATGGAAGCGGCTCGCGAAATTGACGTACTGTTCCGTTTTCTGTTTTGGGTCCTCTGATAGGTTAGGATAAGGGCACTTTAATACGGCTGTTTCTTGACGTTGGGGAGCCTTAGGAGGGCGGGCTGGGGAGTGATAGAATAGGTTTGGTTTTGGGGTTGGGACGTGTGGGTATTGAGGTGAAGACAGGTGTGGACATTGAGGTTAAGGCAGGTGTGGACAGTGAGGTTAAGGCAGGTGTGGACAGTGAGGTTAAGGCAGGTGTGGACATTAAAGTGAAGACTGGTGTGGACATTGAGGTTAACAGGTGTGTACATTGAGGTTAAGGCAGGTGTGGACATTGAGGTTAAGGCAGGTGTGGACATTGAGGTTAAGGCAGGTGTGGACATTAAAGTGAAGACAGGTGTGGACATTGAGGTTAAGGCAGGTGTGGACATTAAAGTGAAGACAGGTGTGGACATTGAGGTTAAGGCAGGTGTGGACATTGAGGTTAAGGCAGGTGTGGACATTGAGGTTAAGGTAGGTGTGGACATTGAGGTTAAGGCAGGTGTGGACATTGAGGTTAAGGCAGGTGTGGACATTGAGGTTAAGGCAGGTGTGGACATTGAGGTTAAGGCAGGTGTGGACATTAAAGTGAAGACAGGTGTGGACATTGAGGTTAAGGCAGGTGTGGACATTGAGGTTAAGGCAGGTGTGGACATTGAGGTTAAGGCAGGTGTGGACATTAAAGTGAAGACAGGTGTGGACATTGAGGTTAAGGCAGGTGTGGACATTGAGGTTAAGGCAGGTGTGGACATTGAGGTTAAGGCAGGTGTGGACATTGAGGTTAAGGCAGGTGTGGACATTAAAGTGAAGACAGGTGTGGACATTGAGGTTAAGGCAGGTGTGGACATTGAGGTGAAGACAGGTGTGGACATTGAGGTTAAGGCAGGTGTGGACATTAAAGTGAAGACAGGTGTGGACATTGAGGCGAGACAGGTGTGGCCGAATATTGATCCACACTTCCTGAATATGTTTTTGCCTGTCTCAACAACTGTTGACTAAATTCCAACCAGATCAAAGTGCCAAGGCACCTTCTTGTTCGACTTCCTGACCGAGATATGGACATGACAGACCAACACGAAAGTGAAAAACCTGTGATACATAGACACACATACATACATATATATACATACATACATAGACACACACATACATACATATACATACGTACATATGGTAGTGAACAACTGGGAGAGCTAGCTAGGCAATGAAATGATAGACCCATACTCCATACAGTTTTAAATACAGGTTCCGAAACCTATACACCACCAGCTGCTGAAAGGCGTGACCCAAGAGCCTAGGTTCAACCCCCCTGCAAATACAACTACACGAGTACGCACATATATACAACCATATACATACATACATACCCTTTGGTATGTATCATTGAAGATACACTCAAGTTATACTGGTGTATGTTTATGTGTATTAAACAATATGTTCGTACATGTACCAGCCTAACTGTACTAGCGAGAGTTGAGCTTCAGCTCCTTGGCCCCGTCTCTCAACCTGCAATCTATGGGTGTACAGGCTCCAGAGCCCTTTGGGTAGACACATGGAGCCAGATTCACGAAGCAGTTACGCAAGCACTTACGAACCTGTCCATCTTTTCTCAATCTTTGGCGGCTTTGTTTACAATTATTAAACAGTTAATGAGCTCCGAAGCACCAGGAGGCTGTTTATAACAATAACAACAGTTGATTGGCAAGTTTTCATGCTTGTAAACTGGTTAATAAATGTAACGAAAACCATCAAAGATTGAGGAAAGATGTACACGTTCGTAAATGCTTGCGTAACTGCTTCGTGAATCTGACACACGGACCTTTGAAGCTCCCCTGTCACCACCACTTCACATCTTAGTGTAATGCATTTGAATAATAATTTCTCGCTGTCGAAGTATTTATAGTTTCTCTGTGAAAGATCTGGCTACTTAGTTTCCACCTGTGTTGCCTTATCCGTGCACAACGCTCGTTTATTTCACTGAGGATTTTGTATATAGTGATCACGACTCCTCTGGTTCTACTCTCTCCTGTCTGAACATCAGAGGTCCACGTCTGTTCAGTACTCTCCCAGGAAGCATTTTAAGATATACCATGCTTGGTTATACCATGGTATAACCAAGTTATATCAGGGTTATAACTCGGTTATACCATTGGTATAACCATGCACATGTGGTTATACCATGGTATAATCCTTTGCCTCTCTTTATCCACTCTTTACTCAACAGCAAAATGTCAACTGCTCTGTGACATTTCTGGGCGACAGTCCATATCTTGTGCGGCCATATCTCTGATTCCTGTTTCCATGGCATTTCAGCCAGTTTATCACTCCTACCAGCGCCCTCCCAGTTACTGGAGTGACTGGGAGAGTCACTGATCCTCTCTGACTGACTCACTGACTGTTCCTCTCTCTCTAATATGTTCTACTCTGTTTCTACTTTCCCTTAAAAACAATTCCAGTACTATCATATTGATCTTCCCCGTCTATAACGCTGAGTACCTGTCTCCAAACTGTCTTCAAACTGTCACTGCTGGCCCCTGTCACACGAGACTGTCTGTCAAAGTTGAGCAGCAATGATTCGAACCTGCGTCCGGGAGCATCCCAGACACTGCCTTAATCGACTGAGCTACGACAGGGTAAAAGGGTTGAAACCGAAGTTTTCGGACGCAGGTTCGAATCCTCGTCACGGCCCTTGTGGATTTGTTCATTTGAGCAGCAATCACTCAACGCCCCGTCGTTTTCCACTCTCGAGAAAGATGTAGGCACTCTCTTGTTGACCAGACCACACACTAGAAGGTGAAGGGACGAAGACGTTTCGGTCACTTGAGAGTCATTCGACTTGAGAATGGTCCAGGGCGGACCGAAACGTCGTCGTCCCTTCACCTTCTAGTGTGTGGTCTGGTCAACATAATTTAGCCACGTTATTGTGACTCCTCGCCTGCATAGGCGCTCTCTTGTCTGATTGGCGTTGTTTCGCGACAAACTCCTACCCCGTCTGTCAATCAGGGCTTCTCTTCAGTGAAGCATTGCTGACTGCTGCCATGCTGACTGAAATCATGCTGATTGAAGATTATGATTTCAATTTTCTCAAGGGGCTCACACTTAAGTGGCTGTTTTCAGTTTCTCCTGCGCCAGGAGAAGGCTGTATGGTGTTGTCCTCAAGGAACATGTCCTGCCCCCTACGTCTTGTGTCTTGAACAACCCTTAGATACTCCCTGAGTACTCCCTTGAGTGCATTCTGAGTACATACTGAATATCTCTTTGAGTTTATTCTGAGTATCCTGAGGGAGCCGGTCGGCCGAGCGGACAGCACGGGGGGCTTGTGATCCTGTGGTCCCGGGTTCGATCCCGGGCGCCGGAGAGAAACAATGGGCAGAGTTTCTTTCACCCTATGCCCCTGTTACCTAGCAGTAAAATAGATACCTGGGTGTTAGTCAGCTGTCACGGGCTGCTTCCTGGGGGTGGAGGCCTGGTCGCGGACCGGGCCGCGGGGACACTATAAAGCCCCGAAATCATCTCAAGATAACCTCACGATATCCTGAGTAAACGCTGAGTACATATTGAGTGGATCCTGAGTATAACCTAAATACTCAATAAGTCTACCATACCTTAACGTTTGTTCGATAATTAAACGCACCGGCCGCCTTGCGACGTTCTTTGCCAGAATCAATACCGGTATTCACAGAGCAATTACGAGCTCACTCCCGTCATCTGCACCTCTCATCTTGTACAGAGTTTAAGAGTTACGAGGTCGTTCCCAACCCTAGGTCGTTATGGACGACCTCGTACGCCTTCCAAAATCGTAAACTGTATTGTAAATACCCATTAAGGAGGTACAGAGTTCGTAAGAGGTTACGTTCTTGATGAATACGGATTCGTCTATCCGCATTCATCATCGTTTTCATTAGTCTTGTCTGGCAATGGCACGAATGTTGGTTTCATAAATAATTTACAATTACATTTTAAAGGATTTAATGCCTACCTACCTTGAGGTTACCTTGAGGTGCTTCCGGGGCTTAGTGTCCCCGCGGCCCGGTCGTTGACCAGGCCTCCTGGTTGCTGGACTGATCAACCAGGCTGTTAGACGCGTCATGCCTTAGCATAACAATGAGCACAATTAAGAGAACAGTGTACACAACATTGTAAACAAGGGGCCTGACAGCTGAGTGGACAGCGTTAGGGATTCGTAGTCCTAAGGTTCCGGGTTCGATCCCCGGTGGAGGCGGAAATGATAATGAGCAAAGTTTCTTTCACCCTGATGATGGCCCCCTGTTCACCATGCCGTAAATAGGTACCTGGGAGTTAGACAGCTGCTACGGGCTGCTTCCTGGGGATGTGTAACAAAAGGAGACCTGGTCGAAGACCGGGCCGTAGGGACGTTAAGTCCCGAAATCATCTCAAGATAACCTCAAGAATCAGGCGCCTAAGCCTCCTTAATCACCTGCCAACGAAGATAAGAAAGTCACTGAAACAGCCGAAAGACTTCAAGAGAATACTGGACAAGTTTCTGGTGTGAAGTATCGGATCAACCAGGCTGTGGTGCGTAGCCTGCGAGCTACGAAGACTAACAGCGTAACAGATCAGACCAGGGAAGGCTGGCCACAGACCAGACAATCACCAGGGTAGGCTGGCCACAGACCAGACAATCACCAGGGTAGGCTGGCCACAGACAATCACCAGGGAAGGCTGGCCACAGACAATCACCCGGGTAGGCTGGCCACAGATAATCACCAGGGAAGGCTGGCCACAGACAATCACCAGGGAAGGCTGGCCACAGACAATCACCAGGGGAGGCTGGCCACAGACAATCACCAGGGAAGGTTGGCCACAGACAATCACCAGGGAAGGCTGGCCACAGACAATCACCAGGGAAGGCTGGCCACAGACAATCACCAGGCTAGGCTGGCCACAGACAATCACCAGGGAAGGCTGGCCACAGACAATCACCAGGGAAGGCTGGCCACAGACAATCACCAGGGAAGGCTGGCCACAGACAATCACCAGGGTAGGCTGGCCACAGACAATCACCAGGGAAGGCTGGCCACAGACAATCACCAGGGTAGGCTGGCCACAGACAATCACCAGGGAAGGCTGGCCACAGACAATCACCAGGGAAGGCTGGCCACAGACAATCACCAGGGAAGGCTGGCCACAGACAATCACCAGGGAAGGCTGGCCACAGACAATCACCAGGGAAGGCTGGCCACAGACAATCACCAGGGAAGGCTGGCCACAGACAATCACCAGGGAAGGCTGGCCACAGACAATCACCAGGGTAGGCTGGCCACAGACAATCACCAGGGAAGGTTGGCCACAGACAATCACCAGGGTAGGCTGGCCACAGACAATCACCAGGGAAGGCTGGCCACAGACAATCACCAGGGAAGGCTGGTCACAGACAATCACCAGGGAAGGCTGGCCACAGACAATCACCAGGGTAGGCTGGCCACAGACAATCACCAGGGAAGGTTGGCCACAAACAATCATCAGGGTAGGCTGGCCACAGACAATCACCAGGGAAGGTTGGCCACAGACAATCACCAGGGAAGGCTGGCCACAGACAATCACCAGGGAAGGCTGGCCACAGACAATCACCAGGGAAGGCTGGCCACAGACAATCACCAGGGAAGGCTGGCCACAGACAATCACCAGGGAAGGCTGGCCACAGACCAGACAATCACCAGGGAAGGCTGGCCACAGACAATCACCAGGGAAGGCTGGCCACAGACAATCACCAGGGAAGGCTGGCCACAGACAATCACCAGGAAGGCTGGCCACAGACAATCACCAGGGAAGGCTGGCCACAGACAATCACCAGGGAAGGCTGGCCACAGACAATCACCAGGGAAGGCTGGCCACAGACAATCACCAGGGAAGGCTGGCCACAGACCAGACAATCACCAGGGAAGGCTGGCCACGGACAATCACCAGGGAAGGCTGGCCACAGACAATCACCAGGGAAGGCTGGCCACAGACAATCACCAGGGAAGGCTGGCCACAGA